TCAGCATAGCGAATAGGCCCGGGTAAGCACAAAATCTCACTTTTCCCGGACACTGCCTTCAAAGAATCCTTCACATTGAAAGGTCATTTCCCCCAAGCAGGATGCATCATTACCTATGGGTAAAAGATGCTTGTATTCATTTCATGCAAGTCTGTGGCCACAAGCTACAACCTCACTTGTTTCACACGAGACGGATGCACGAAAAGCAGGATAAGAAAATTTCGAAGCAAAAAACTTGGTGAAGCTTTCGAAACGCACACTTTGCAATTGCAAAAACTGTATAGAAAACAAGGCACCAACCGCCAGCGACATCCTCTCTAAATTCGCGAGAAGTTAGTGTGATACGACATCTAAGCGGGATTGAGCTCTGCTGAAGTATCATTGATGCACTTGGTTCCTCCACAGTGATGTTGACTGACGATCCTTCAGGGCTCTGCAATACAGTAATTTCATGTTGGACACAACGAAATTGCTACGTTCGAAAATATACCTCGTAATACTTGGGTATCAAATCAGCTACCTCTTTCAAAAGCGACAAACCGGGAATGTGAGAGCAGAGCACGACCAAGTGGACCTATACATCGTTATCAGAAACTCCAAAAGCTTTTTGAAGACAAATATACCTCAGTGTCATCCTTCAGCAATAATCCTTTAGACAACATTCCCACGCGCATGACTCCTTTCAAAAGACGATCTTTCTCCTGTGTCGCTGTTGCCTCTTTCGCTGTTTCTCCGGCTGCTGCAGGCTTCACTTGCGGTTTTGTTTCCAAATGATCCCTGACAAAAAGTACTTACTAGAAAATTATACAGACATGTGACGAACTACTTTACCGTTCATTGAAGAAGTCGGACACTTTTTTGAGAGCTTTTTCAGTTTCAGTCACAAGTCGCTCAATCACGGTAAGCTGTTCATCATCAGGGTATATGGAGGTGTGCTTGGCCTAAAATGGTATTCCTAATCAGATCCTACCCAATGAAATTCTAATTCCAGACCTGAACGTGACGGTCATCTGTGGTCTCGAATCTCCTGCCATCAATTGGCCCATTACCAAACCATGGTCCACGGATACCAGGAACAACTGGACCAAAAGGACCTCTTGGAACAGCCAATCTAAATTGCGATCTAATACTATTACTATGCTTCATACGGTTTGACATA